CTCATTTCCTTCCCTCCTTTCCTTTCTAATATTTTGGACTCTGCAGAGGTTTCCAGCTTCATTATTTTAGATGTATTCAGACGATGCGTTCAGTGACCTGTGGGAAATCACACTGTAATACAAACAGTATTTATCACGTGACGCTGCAGACAGACGCAGACTCTGAGGGCGTGATGTAAAGTTTGTTGGGGCGGGGTGCTCCAAGGACAGATGTGTGCCTTCCTGTGCAGATGTTACCAGGGAAACAATGACAGGACATGCTTTAATCACCAGGACGAACAGCTGGAGGGCCTTCCTCTGTCTGTGTGTGTGAGAGAGAGAGGGAGTGTGTGTGTGTCCATCAGTGCTGTGTGCTGTAACAAGTTTGTCCAGTTAGTGAGTTTGAGCGGCAGCGTGGTGACAGGAGACAAGCGGGATGAAGACACTTTTATTTAACATTAGAAGCAGGCAGTACCAGGTACACACACACACACACACACACACACACACACACACACGACACACACACACACACACACACACACACACACACACACACACACACACACACAAACACCATGCAGACACACAGACTGTTGGTACAGATTGTCGTTAGCTGGCTGTCTGCGTTTGTTACATTTCTCGTGATTCACAGTGTCTTTGGTGTCCTCGTAGTCTCGGTCCGGTCGTTTGCCATTGTTTTTGGAAGCTAGCGTTGTGCGTGCGTGTGTGTGTGTGTGTGTGTGTGTGTGTGTGTGTGTGTGTTATGTGTGTGTGTGTGTGTGTGTTGTGTTGTGTGTGTGTGTGTGTGTGTGTCAGGTTTAGTGCGGGGTTGTGAGCAAACGTGCAGATTTGCTTTGCAGCCAGAAAAACATATTCTCGCTGTAACGAAGCGTCAGCTATTTCTGCCGTTTCCTTTCATGACTCATCTTAACTCTGCATATTTTGACTTAAAGTTCGAGTAAAGTTATTCAGACATGAGCGATGTGCTCTCGGCAGATGTGGCTCAGGAGGTGGAGATCCGCCGTTTGATCCCGGCTCCTCGAGGCTGCAGCTTAAAGCGCATAAAATAAAAGTGAACGGGTGAATGCAAACCCCAGCGGGTCAGTAACACAATGCTAAGCTTTTGTGATGCTCTTTAGGTTTTCCTCTGTTGGCTGAATATGTCAGCCTCAGAGCCTGAACAATGCTGGACTGTGCGGCCGGCCGCACCAACAATGAGCGATTTAGTGGTGTGTAATTAGCGACCAGACGTGGATGGATGTGAGCCGAACAGCTGGAACTGAGTCGTAACACTTGCCGGCTGCTTTGATTGATTATTGATGAGTATTTATCTCTGACTGCAGGATTTATGTGAGCGATGAGGCTCTCACATGGAAGGAAAAAGTAATTCACCAGTGTTTGCTGTACTGCAGTGTGTGTGTGTGTCTGTGTGTGTGTGTGTGTGTGTGTGTGTGTGTGTGTGTGTGTACTGCAGTGTGTGTGTGTGTGGTGTGTGTGTGTGTGTGTGTGTGTTGGCATCAGATGAAGCGCTTTGATTTCCTCTAATGAGAGGGGAGAGCGACCGAATGAAAGAGGAGGACAAGAACAGGAATAAAAGAGGAAGTGAGGAAAGGAAACAGACCAGAGCCAAGGATATAAGAAAAGGAAATAGAAGAGATTAAGAAAAGACAAAGAAAAAATGAAATAAAAGACGAGACAGGAGAGAAATTAAAAAGGAAAGAGGAGAGGAAATGAGAAATGATGAGGTGAAATTAACGAGGAGATAAAAAAGGAAAGTACCTATAAAGGTGAAGAGGACAAAGGAACGATAAAGAGATGATGAAACAAGAAAAACTGACTGGAAAGGAGCAGCAAGAAAAGGAAGCAAGGAAAGGACATGACAGAAGAGAGGACACGAGGAAAGG